GAGCATAAACTTAAAGCATTGTTTAAAAGAAGATACTATATTGGCAAACGTATTTAAAATGCCAGTAAAAAATGAAAACTATAACTACTGTACGAAGTCGAAATATGTTCCTATTGTTAAGATCTCAATTTTTTTTTTTATCTAAAAACACAAAGAAGTAAACCAATTGTGAGATAATGTAGTATTTAAAATATAATGTAATACTTTTCTTCTTATCCTTGTCGTTTGCATAAATACGTGAATTGAATTATGCACGGCAATGCAATTACGCAATGGTGAGCAATCACCTGCTATATCACGTACTTTTTTTAACATAACATTCAAGGTGCCAGCATTTCTATTTCTGTATCAATTCTGAATCTTGTAGCAATGCTAATGCACACAATAGCAATAATTAAAGAGTTTACTCTCTCATTATTACTACAGCGGTGGAATTTTATAGGTCATAAACTACGTACATATTTACGCACAATTATATTTGCCGAAAGCAAATCCATGATAAATTCTTGAATGAACAATATATTTATTAGTGGATTTGGTAATAAATATACTTGTAAACTATTTTTATTTAATAAAATCCTATAAATTAAATTCATTACCGGCCATTCATTACTACGGTAAGTTCACGGAAATATATTTTTTTTTCTATGCCAACTACACTCTCAGTAGTATATACCTAATACTGAAGCCAAACATGTTTTAAACCATTATCCAATATTAAGAAATTAGTTTCTAAGCAATTGTTGAATGCATTATTTAAAAAAAAAACGGACTGGAGTTCCTGCAAGAAATTCCTTACATTGTCCAGCTCAGTGCCGACTCTGTATGTACACCTGCTGACCAAAAGCATGAAATACAGGATTGGGGATATTATACGAGAAAACAACATTCCAGAGCAAAGCTCAAAACAGAAGATTATTAAGGGTTTGCTTTGATTGAAATATTAGAGACAATACTAGTCCTAATTTATAGTTTGTAACACACTGCAAAGGTGTGTTACTCTTATACCAATATTTTAGTTATATAACAAGATGGTCTAGCGAAAAACGTCATTGAATAAGCATACTCGAACTTTGAGAGTAATTGCCCTAATCAATTTTACACGTATTCTGGTATTAGTAAAGGTTGAAATTGTCTGTAAATATATAATGATCTAGTTCATATCGACGTTAGAGTAGGGTATGCGGTTAGTAACTGTATAAATTATTGAAACTAAATATCATTACACAAAATCTCTATACGCTTGTAGGTACTATTCGATAACTGGTCTCTCACATACCCTGTAAAATAAACCACAGTCCTATAGAGGGGTATGTGGGATATATCTTAATCATACATTCAGAAAATATTTACTCGAGAATGTCGATCAAAACACATGAACGATTTAAAAACATTAAGGTCATATAATTTCAAAGTCAAGTTCATGTTTACGCATTTTAAATTAACATTACATTTCAAATTTGGAAATATGTCCTTGGAAAACCTATAAAAAAAATCACTAACGAAAGTAAACTAAACGAAACACTATACTAAACAAAATTGAATATATGAGATACTGATATCATTAAACAGTCCTTATGAGTCGAGTTTTATTTCATATCCGATTGTGTTTTGATATTATAATTCAGAATAAGACAGATGGAAATGAGAGTATGATGAAAGTAATATTTTATAAATCAACTCTAAATCTAACGACAATTATGGAATTACACGACGTTATAGCGGCGGTTTTTTCTGCCGATGTATGTGGAGATGAATACGTGAATAAACCTGTAATACATAGTGTTTTACATCTGGGATGTTTTGTATTTTAAACGGTCATGTGATGACACGTAGCAGTGGCGGAACCAGGAATTTGAAATAGAGTGTTACCATACCATCACAGCCCCACCATGGTTATGATATCTCTAGTTGGCAGTGAAATGGGACTCTAATTCTAATTCTAATTCTGGATTTATATAGCGCCTTTCGTTGACACAACCTCGAACCGCTTGAACATTATTACCCCCGGATCACTGGATCAAGCACATATGGAACACACACTCAAGCCCCATAGGGGAATTCCACAATGTTGCAGCTGTATTCAGCGCAGGCTGTGCTTGAACCTACCAGGTACCCATTTGTACTCCTGGGTGGAGAGAGACAACCGTAGATAAAGTGCCTTGCCCAGTGGCGTAGAAAAGTTTTTTGCGTGTTAGCCAGTGTCGTAACAGGCGGGGGGGGGGGACAGGGGGAAACTGCCCCTCCCCTGACGGTTTTTACCGGGCTGACCAAGCCGTCGTACCGGGCTGGGTAATAAAAGAAAAGAAAGAGGGGAGAGGGAGGGAAAAGAAAGAAGAAAAAAAGAAAAGGAAAGAAAAAAAAAAGATATGAGAAAAAAAGACAAGAATATAAAGGAAGATATCATAATGACTAGACTCACAACACCCTGCAACCTCTTCTCCACTTCAAAAGCTGTCATAACTCCTTTGATCTATGCTGCCCGATGGCTTAACCACTGGGGGACAAGAAGAAAATATCTATCTTTGAGAAATCTTCCCCACCTCTTTATAGATGCCCTTTTCATCCCTTGAAAGTGCCTAAAAACCTAAAATTTCGCGCGCCTGGCGCGCATTTCTTGTTGGCATGGACCAATTTCCTCTTAAAATTACACATTTTAGGGAGTTTTGATCAATTCCAACGAAATTAGAATTAAAAACACCGGGGGACAAGATAAAAATATCCATCTTTGGAAAATCTTTCCCCACCCCTTGACAAATGCATCCTCTGAAAGTGCCTAAATTTCTCAAATTCTTTGCTCGTATTTCTTGTTACGGTAGGCCAATTTCCTCTATAAATTGCACATTTTAGGTAGTTTCATCAATTCCGACGAAATTAGATTAGTAAAAATTACATTATAAGCAAAAAAGAATAAATAAACACACAAACACTCACAAATAGAAAACATTCACATTTGAAATTGGAGGAATATCTGTACATTCAATTGTGGAAAAAAAAATAGCTCATCCATCCACGCTTTTTAAGTTGGCAAATGAAATGAAAAACAGGTCAAGAAAAGATTGCTGACATGTCTAGCCTAGACTTACGTCTTCTGAACTTTGAACTGTCAAGCCGGATTTACTCTTACGCCTTACGAGTGACACGATAACTAAATGTCTACACATGCAATAGACACATAAACCAGGTTATGTAGTACTGGCAGGAGCAGTTTGAACACTGTGCACGACTGGCTATCTGTATCAAATGGTTATGAAAAAGAGCCTTGGGTAGTTCTCATGAAATTAATATCACTTACATAAATCCTATCTGATTACTGTATAGATAACTAAATTTGAATTAAATGTTGTTTCATTGATCGACATACATCCATTACCTTTCTCTTTTATCACTAAACAAATGTTTATATTACAAATTACTGGTACTTCTTCTCGATGAACCAGGTAATAAAGACATTGTCATGTCGTCGACTGTCTCACGGATTTCTAGCGTGCGGTCTCGAAGTTCTTGTACGTTTGTATCCAGATCTGTAGTTTTATTATACACATCATCCACTTTCTGCAACTGTTCACGAATTTCATTGTATCGTGTGTTCAGCGACACGAACGCCTTTTCTTGGTTTGTCAACATCTTAAATGTTTCGTACCTGAAGAAATAAAATGATACATAATACTGATGAATACAAATAATAACAATAATAATAATAATAACAATAATAATAATAATAATAATAATAATAATAATAATAATAATAATAACACGTGTTTAATTCTTCTCTATGTTACTTTGATACTTTAAAAATGTAATTAAAAAGCTGTTCCTAAACATGGGAGTAGCAACTTTCATATATATAGCACACAAGGTTGATGATTGTACAGTTCTCGCGCTGTCTCTTATACACATCTAGATGTGTATAAGAGACAGTTTAGGGAGTTTTGATCAATTCCAACGAAATT